GTCTATATGCATTCCAATTCTATTTCCAGGGATGAGTATATGTTCTTAAAGTCAAGAAGGAGAGAGTAGAAAAGTAGTAGTCATTTAGACACCAGTAGTGTTGATTGATTTGGTCATGGAGTTCTGATTACAAACGTTTGTCATCAAAAGGGGACAATGTGCATTAGCGTGTAAAAGAGTTACTTCTCATTTCAGTAGCATGGTATAAGGAATGCCAGGGATTTATGTATGAGCACGTTGTTAGCAGTGGGATAGCGAATGACTTACATTTGGTGAGCGATATATGAAAGGATAACAAAACTGCAAAGACATTCATCTTGTTCAAGGCTGAAAGGCTGGTAAAATGTAATTGGTATGATGCTTTTGTAAAATCAAAGAAGAGAGAAATGACTTCACTTAATGTTTCCCACTGCTTATCTTCTTCCCAGGAGTCAAGTCTTAGTTTCAGTTTGGGTAACAGAGATCAGCTGATTAGCTCTCATCTCGGTTAATATTCAAGTGCAGAACCAAGTGTTCTGTTAACTGAAATGATCTTTGTAGTCAAATTCAGTGAAGGTAGTATGCCTTGACAACTGCTTTTCTGCTTATCAGTTATATAGGAGCTTTTGTATGGTATGTAGGTCTTTTGTATGGTAGAGGAGAATTCCAGGTAGGCAAGCATCTTTTCTTCATGGCAGTTGTGGTATTGAGCTGTTAAATCCTTTGTGCAGGAGATATCATGGCAACGCTTTCTTTAGAATATGATGCCTCTGTGCATAAAGCTAAGGCTTGACCTTAACATCAGGTCAAGCAGTGTCCCTCAGTGTCCTGGTTGAGAACTTGTGGTCACCCTAGTTTATCTTGTTTTATCAAATTGCCATTGATTTGTCTGCTGTTAATCAAAGATGAGACGGGTTATATATGGAGATAGATTAATGATGGATTAATGCAGTGCATCTCAGCTGTCTAAGAAAATTAAAGCTGCTTTTGTGGAAGAGATACTACAATTGAATGGGTTATGCTCAACAGAAACTAGATGTTAAGTCTTGTATTGGCAAAAAGAATGTGTTACTAATTCCTGTAGTGAATATGTCCTATTTCCTAAATGTTCTCTCATCTCTGAAGGCAAAGCTTGTGCTTTTGGGCTATGCGTCCATAGTTTTTAAACAGCAGAGGGTTTG